TCCCTATCCGTTGATGTGGGCAAGGCGCAACGAAGAGGACTCAGCCGAGGAGGTTATGGAAGAGGATGGAGTAGGAGGAGAAGAGGAGGTGGCAGCAGGCCTGCCTGCAAGTCGTGGCGGTGTCACCAACTCCTCTGCAGAGCCACGCATTCCATGCTTGGCAGCCGTCAGCAGGTTTGCCCAATGCGCAGTGTAGGAGATATACCTGCCCTGATCATGCTTTACAGACCAGGTATCAGTGGTCAGATGGACCCTTGCCCCAACACTGTGTGCCAGACATGCCATTATTTCCTTTTGCACAATCGAGTACAGGTTGGGGATTGCCTTTTGTGAAAATAAATTTCATCCGGGTACCAGTGAGTGAGTGGTGGCACTGGGCACAGTATCCACTGTGAGCCTGACACACCTGCTGGCAGACAACTGACTGCTATTCAATCTATAACAGTGAAAAAAGTTTTTTGTTTTTAAGTGCAAGCTATTGTGACACCAAATATGAGTGGTGGCACTGGGCACCGTATCCACTGTTAGCGTAACACACCCGCTTTAAGGACACTGACTGCTATTCAATCTATAACAGTGAAAAACATTTTTTGTTTTTAAATGCAAGCTATTGTGACACCAGTGAGTGGTGGCACTGGGCACCATATCCACTGTGAGCTTAACACACCCGCTTTAAGGACACTGACTGCTATTCAATCTATAACAGTGAAAAAAGTTTTTGGTTTTTAAATGCAAGCTATTGTGACACCAGTGAGTGGTGGCACTGGGCACTGCATCCACTGTGAGCTTAACACACCCGCTTTAAGGACACTGACTGCTATTCAATCTATAACAGTGAAAAAAGTTTTTTGTTTTTAAATGCAAGCTATTGTGACACCAGTGAGTGGTGGCACTGGGCACCTTATCCACTGTTAGCGTAACACACCCGCTTTAAGGACACTGACTGCTATTCAATCTATAACAGTGAAAAAAGTTTTTTGTTTTTAAATGCAATCTATTGTGACACCAGTGAGTGGTGGCACTGGGCACCGCATCCACTGTTAGCGTAACACACCCGCTTTAAGGACACTGACTGCTATTCAATCTATAACAGTGAAAAAGTTTTTTGTTTTTAAATGCAAGCTATTGTGACACCAGTGAGTGGTGGCACTGGGCACCGTATCCACTGTGAGCTTAACACACCCGCTTTAAGGACACTGACTGCTATTCAGTCTATAACAGTGAAAAAAGTTTTTTGTTTTTAAATGCAATCTATTGTGACACCAGTGAGTGGTGGCACTGGGCACCGTATCCACTATTAGCGTAACACACCCGCTTTTAGGACACTGACTGCTATTCAATCTATAACAGTGAAAAAAGTTTTTTGTTTTTAAATGCAAGCTATTGTGACACCAGATATGAGTGGTGGCACTGACTGGGCAAATGGGCACAGTATCCACTGTGAGCCTGATACAGAAGCTGGCAGCAGTGGCAGACAACTAACTGCAATTACATTACACAGAAAAAAAAAAGCATACCCTAACCCTAACCTAGCTATGCCTAACCCTATCTAATCAACAGCAGCTACACTTTCCCTCCTCTCACTAAGCATGCAGCTTGAGAATGAATGTAAAATGGATGCCTTCCAGTAGGTGGGAGGGTCTGCTAGGAAGGGTGTGCTGCTAATTGGCTGGAATGTGTCTGCTGACTGTGAGGTACAGGGTCAAAGTTTACTCAATGATGACGAATAGGGGGCGGATCGAACCGCGCATGCGTTCGCCGTCCACGGCGGACGCGAACACGCTATGTTCGCTGGGAACCGTTCGCCAGCGAACCGTTCGGTACATCACTATTTGACACAGTGCTTTGAACAGAAATACTGCTCTATGCAGTATATCCCTCTATATACTGGCACACACACTGCTCTGCACAATAAATATCTCTATATGCTGACACACACTGCTCTGCACAATAAATCTCTCTATTTACTGACACACTGCTCTGCACAATAAATCCCTCTATATGCTGACACACACTGCTCTGCACAATAAATCCCTCTATATGCTGACACACACTGCTCTGCACAATAAATCTTTCTATTTACTGACACACTGCTCTGCACAATAAATCCCTCTATATACTGACACTCTAAACAATAAATCCCTCCATATACTGAGCAACACAAAAGGCTCTATGCAGTAAACCCGACTATATGCTGACACACACTGCTCTGCACAATAAATCTCTATATATACTGACACACACTGCTCTGCACAATAAATCTCTCTATATACTGACACACACTGCTCTGCACAATAAATCTATCTATATACTGACACACACTGCTCTGCACAATAAATCTCTCTATATATTGACACACACTGGTCTGCACAATAAATCTCTCTATATACTGACACACACTGCTCTGCACAATAAATCTCTCTATATGTTGACACACACTGCTC